TGCTCAAATAATTTAAACAGTATTACAGAAGAATACTCTTTTGTTCTTAGCAAAAATTTAGAATTAATTCCGTCAACTCCCGCGGAGCAGGATATTTTTAGCTGTTCAATTACCTTTATAATTCCACTTGTTTGAATTAAGATGGGATACATGGGCAGAAAAGCGCGTTGTTGAAGTTGAGGTAAAGTTGAAGAAATACAGTTTGAAAATGATTCAACAAAAGTAGAATTGAAAATATTTGCACAGTATCGGTGGAAACAGGTTCACCTGATAAAGTAAACAGAGACAGTGTGGTGTTTTTATTGCTGTTAATCGCCTTCCAAAACTGTTTGACGTTGTTGGTTAGTAGTGATGGCAGGGTGATAGAAAAATAAACTGACTTTGCATCCGCGATTGCACTTTTATAAGCATTGGCAGCCTCATGATACTCGAGCCATTTAACCTCCGAATTTGTTAACTTTGCTCCACGAAATTTGCGCTTCTTTTTATTGGAAAGTCTTTTTAGAGTGTTACTGAACCAAGGGGAATTCGAAACAATTGGGATGTTACGTAGCGGTACATGTTTATTGGTTAGGAGCTCAACCTGCGTCTTAAACAATGTCCAATTTAATTCTAAAGAACGGTCAGAAAAGTGGTCTAAGTAATCGTTAAGAAAAAGGCCAAGGGCACCGTTAATAGAGTCATAGTCACCTCTACCATAGTCTCGTATTTTTTTAAGAGTTCGCTGGGCTGTTTTGGCTGGCACATCAAGTGAAAAATGTAGTAGCGAATGGTCGCTGAGAGCCGGCATGAAAGTAACAGAAGAAATAAGTTCAGGTGAAGTTGACAAAATGAGATCTAATACGTTTGCAGTTGTAGCAGTGATTCGAGTAGGAAGAGACACCAGCTGCGAAAAGCTGAAGTCATCACATAACTTTATAAAATCTTCCGCATCTGATGAGAAAGGGTTAGAGAAAATATGCGGGTGAGACCATTTTATTTGAGGATAATTGAAATCACCAAGGAGGAGTATAGGAGATGAAGGAAAGCGCACTATTATTGAGTTCAAAACATCATGAAGATTCGAAACAAAAGAAGGATGAGCTGATGGTGGACGATAACACACGGCTAAGATAACTTTTTGGAAGTTCAAACACAAGCAACAACAAACTATTTCTAAATCACTATTCAAACGCACACAGAAAGAATCAATGTGATCGGCAACTGCCGATAAAACGCCACCTCCATTTCGTGCACCCCTATCACAACGGTAGACATTAAAACGCTTATCACAACTAAATAATTCACAATTCCGAACATTCGATGACAGCCACGTTTCGGTTAAAGCTACTACGTCAGCGCTACAAGAATCAATAACTGAACACAATTCATCACGATGACGTAAAATACTCCTTATATTGCTAAAAAGTGCTGACACATTTTTGGAAAAAGGAATAGCGCCCACGCCCCTTGCCACATGTTATGGTGAAGAAGACGCTTGATGTATGTTACGAAGCATGTTAACGTTATCTCCTTCGCGCCTATCAGATGAGGGCGTTTGATGCAAGTTAAGGGGAGGCCTGTTGACGTTATCACCTTCACTCCTATCAGGACTAGCACCGAGATCAAACACTTCGTCAGACACTGAGTTATACATATAAGACCTCTTGTTAATAAACAGTTTATTGTAGCGTAGTTGAAACACATTTTTAGAGGCTTTTCCAAACTCAGTTAGTTTTTTCCTAGCTTGGCGGGTTGCTGGCGAGAAATCTTCACAGATGTAAATGTCACTACCTTTCAACTTAAAACGCGACGAAAATACATAATTCTTGACTTTATTGGAGGAGAATTTCACTATTGTTGGGCGACAGCGATTGGCACTAAAAGCACCGATGCGGTGTGAGCGCTCAATGCAGTCTGGAGACACCTGTAGCTCAAGAGAGCCAGAAGCAAGCTCGAGAACTTTTCTTTCAGTAACGGACCAAGTTTCGGACGGAGAATCCGCCAAACCATAAATAATTAGATTATCTCTACGTGATCGATCTTCAAGGTCGTTTAGACGGTCATTCCAAGTGGCGTTGTCATAATTGAATTTTTCAGCGAGACATTTCACTGTGTTGAAATCTTGGTCAACCAATTCAAGCGCAGATACTTTATTCTCGACAAGCGTAAGTCGATTACCGATGTCGTTAATTTTTCTTTCGATTGAACTCTGACTTTCTCTTATTTCTTTCACACTGTCTAGTAAACTGTTTTGCCCAACTTCAGATTTCAAAATTCGTTCATTCATATCCCTCACCAGCTGCATCAAATCCGCGAATTGTTTCGCTTGAACGTCGCTCATGGGGCCGGGATTGAGTTTAATGTCGCCCGAAAGTGCTAGTAACGATTTTACCACATCATAACACTCAATGACCGTAACACAAATGACACTTGGGCATGGAAACAGCAGAAGAACGACGTTATTCGTTCGTCTAGTATGTAACGACGGAGAGGAACCCACCTGTACAATGAAGCAGAACGGATTAGAAGACTGCATCCTCAGGCTGTTTCCATGCCCACTGACAGAACTGGCGACGTTCCACGGTTTTGAAGCCTCGTTGATTAGTGTCGATGTCGATGGGGTAGCTTCCTTGTGCCGGGTAAAGGCATACTGCGGCCAGTACGCGAGTACGCCAAAACATACGTCGGATTTATCTTGAAAAACTGGAAATCCTTCCGTGGCCAGCGTTGTTGTGACGATGACTTGAGAAAACGGCGATGCCCAGACAGGCGCTGAACACAGGCAAAGCAGGATCTGTACAATGAAGCAGAACGGATTAGAAGACTGCATCCTCAGGCTGTTTCCATGCCCACCCACAATGTTGAATCTGGTTAGAACTACTTGTGCGTAGTTCTAACCAGATTCAACATTCGTTACTCACATTAAACTGACATTGCTAGGATCGTGTATTTTATAGGACTACTAAGGACAAAAATTAAATTCCGAAACTGCTTACTGCGGGCTGCAGGACGTGTGAGCGGATGGCGGTGGTTTAGCCCCACGTTATATTTGCTCAACAGCTTCACAAGTATTGGCGCTCCAAACCGCTCGATCGAGGACGAGAAAAAGCGTGTGGAAATAATCGAACGTAGTTCGGTTTGTTGGCATTTCGTCTTGGGCTGGACGTTGAATAAATATTTCATCAATTGATCGTCACCCTTTTAATATATAAATGAATCGTTTAATCGGTCTCTCAATTCCATGTACAACATTTGTTTAACGCCATTTTTTTTCCTTTGCTGTGTACGTGATAAACGGTGCAATATACAATTTCGATTATGAATCAACCTTGATGTGCAATTAAGAACAGTTCAAGAACACTCAAAATCAATGATTCATGCTTCAGCTGCATGAGGCTGAGGGGTGGCTGATATTTTCGGCTCTAGTGACCGACGTTGATTCTTCACGATTGCCTAGACGCACACTCGCACGGTGTTGAAGGGGCCGTGATACGTGTAACCTTCCTCGCGCTTATCTGGAGTTACAAATCGAGCCCCTACAGTTTAGTGTAGGTTGAAAGGTCACCTCATATTTGCCCTTCATAGTGATTTACTCTTCCATGTCTGCGTGGTGAAGGCTTTTAATTTTTACTTTTTTTCGGATCGTCAAAAGCCTAATGATTAACCGGATAAAAAAAAATAAACGCGGTTAAAGCATGAACGGACTCATCGGTAGGTGGATTGATCAATTGTCCAGCACTAATATTTTTGTTTCAAAATTCCTGCTATAGTTTGAAGTAAACTTTTTTGCTAGGAAATATCCGAGAATATTTTTTTCTTGTGGTATCAGACTGGAAGTATTTTTTTCAACAAAATAGGTAACGCCCAAATTTATGTCAAGGTGCTTCTCCACGGTAAAATATTGGCAGCACAGTGCACCACTCGCAAATATTATTGCTTACTGGGGCCACCAATGTGTGTACACATTTTGGTGAGCAATCTTTTCCTGCATCTCAAAAAAATTCACGTAAACGTTTTTTTCGTTTTTTTTTTTTGTTTTTTTTTTTAAATATCGTTCTGCCGTTGTTTGCGCATATTGCAACTGAAAACCAATACATAAAAAAAAAAAACTGCAAAACTTAAAAAGCACATACCTGCAAATTTTTATTTTGAGAAACGACATAGAATCGTTCATAAATAAACTACACTCAAACGCCTAGTACAAGTAAACGAGAAAATATAAAACGGCTGATTTGAGGTTTGAAACAAGCTCGATTTATTTAGCGTTCTATCGAACACATGACTATATTTTCCGAACTACCTGAAGTTTCTCAGGAACGTATGAAGTACCAATAATGGCTCAAACAAGCATTTCGGTGCAGTAGAATTATTAAGCTACTATTCAAGGTTCTTTCCCATACGCGTTTGTTTCTCTGCCGTGTTTTCAGTTTCCCCGCTAAATTCAGCGTAAAAATTGATTTCACGTGACCGAAGCACCAATTCAGTTTCCCCTGCTGGGGAAACTTACGACACGTGACCTATATATATACCAATTCTGTTTCCCCGCTAAATTTAGCGTGTGTGCAACGATAAATGCTGTTGCATTCATAGGTAATTACTCCTTTGGTTTCTACATTATTTTAGCATTTTTTTTAAGTATATCTGCTTGGAACGCCCTCTCTCGCTCCAGATTTTGATAAAGCTCACTATAATTACAGGTTATAAAGACAATTTCGTTTCGCTCGTTGTTTTTCCACAAGCCCTTTGTAATTCAGATGATGCAATACAATTGACTGACTAATGTTTTTTTTATAATATGGCATAAACTGTATTACAATATTTTTTTTTATTAATGCGCCTGTTTATCTGAATGCAAAGTGGCATGTGAAATTATTCCTTTTTTATGTCCTCCTCTTAGTTATCTCAGGTCTTTTTGCCCAACAATGGCAGGGACCTGTTCAAAAGGCCCGCAGTGTGTATTCCAAATAAATATAAACAATACTGTCACGCATGTCTATTGCACATCCGGCGTGTAAGATATGTCCTGCCACGAACGCCTACATAAAATAATTCGGAAAGAAAAAAGCCAGTTCCTGCTGATAAATGGAAAAAGAGTTAAAATTTACAGAGGTATATATGAGTTCTCTTTCGTGCAAAGCACCGTTCGGTCGTTGAGGCGAATCCCATTTGGCGGGGACTATTTGCATATGGCCGAACAATGATTTGTTAAAGAGGAAATCCAAGTAAACTCTCACACCAGACACACTCAGAACAAAGTTATTGTGAGTATCTTCTTCCATTTGAAAGTGTTTCCGGCGATAGTTTGTATTGATTTATATAAATGTATTCGCCCGCATAAGAAGCGATGGGTTATTTGCGTTGGTTAATTAAAAAAATGTTGGTCGGCTACAACCTTGAACTGTTGAGATCGAAAGGGTGTCTCTAAAAATATATTTGAAGAATCATTTCTTAAAATCCAGCATTTTTACTTTAACCTAGAACAAAATGCAAGAATAAAAACATTAAGTTCTTGAACGTATAATGCACAATCAAGAAGCAGACTGAAATATATGGCGCACCGGTTGTCCGACCTCACCACAAGTGCTGTTGGCTGGGGACTCAAGCAGCAGAATGACTATTAAGCTCAACATTGACAGACACGTCTGCTTGTCACAATAAATGAGTTATCTCGCAATAGTAACCAGAGTATGGCTGCTTTTTGTAGGTGGATACTAAATTTTTATATTTTATATTATGTGCTGTCTTGTCTCTGAGAGCCTAGATCATACGCTGGGAAGAGCTTTTATAGGGCACTGTTGCCCGCCAGTGATTATTTGCTCAGTCAGAAAGTAAAAAAAAAAAAAAGAAAACCTAGGCCAGAGCAAAATTTCTGTATACATCACCCGCAGCTCCTCGTTGACTTCCAAGCTGTTGCCGGGCGGCGCTATATTTTGTGAAATGAAAAAAAAAAAAAGAATAAATAGATGCTAGAAATTGACAGAAGAAACCTTGTACTTAATCTTGAGTATTGTTGAAAGGAACCTGATGGAATTCCGTATGTCTCTATTAGTCTCCCTCAAATCTATCCTACTTCCTCCCTTTCTGTATTTTGAGTATTTTATATGAAAATAATGACTTAAGATAAGGTGGCATCTTAGTTTTATTGCATATTTCAACATTGTCGGTTGGAGCTGAGCATAATTCCTTTCTTTTTGTGTTTAGGTCCAATTCTCCCCACTTTCTTTTCGCTACTGGGCAAGCTTCGATTTATGTTAACAGCTAAAATATGACATTTCACAACAAGCAGAAACGTAGTGGTTTTTTTCGTCAGTTTTTTCCTTTCAAAAATGTATCCCCTACACTGAGTGAGCGTCAAGAAGACATCGACATCACTCAAATCACCTCGGAGACCGAGGCTACACCTCCCTATCATTTTCCAAAGGTAAAATATTCTTAAATATTACATTAAAAAAAAGATAATACTTTTTATTTAGTTTTGGCATGCGGCTCTGTCAGCTTAAAGTTTTCTTATCATTCCATATTGTTTTACGTTTTGGTTATATCCGCATGAATACTCAAATCTTTTTTTTTTCAGAACATCGAAAAAGGTTTAGAAGAAATAATATTCAAGTGTTAATAAAGGTTAAAAAAATGCATGCATCTTGTAATTAATTATTAACGAGAAAGAAACGAAGATTGTCTGTCTAGATCGCAAATGTGCTGCACCGAAATTAATGTCATAGGTACCCAGGGCGGCATTTTTTTGGTTTGACGAATACTAAGGCTAGGTAGGTGTCGACTCAAAAAAATCTGGCATATGGTTTGTCGTTTCATTTAACTAACGTCTTCTTAAACCTTTACATTCTGTCACCCCCACTAGAGTCATAATCAAACGGAGCTTCAACATTCTATTATGCATAGTTTATATATGCTGGCCAAACTCATTGTTTTGACTTTTATCCGGGATGCTAAAGTTCGACCAAAACTCGACACACTTCGCGCGCTTTCAGCAATATGGTTGTGACAGCATCCAGAGCTGGCTCACGGCTGGAGCGTGTGCGTTTACCACCTTCTTCGCCCTGGCCCCTTTAATGTGCTCTGGATTCTTTTACGTCACCATTATGAACGAATTCAATGTGAGCCATCAAGAAGCCTCTTGGACAATCATGATTCTTGGAGGAGCGAGGGTTCTTTCAGGCAAGGCTCGTCGAATATTGAACAATAAACGTTTTCACAGAATTTATATAGACAGAACTGAATTTATTGATGTTTCTCAATGAGAACACATTTTACACTTAAAATTATCACTGAAGCAATAGAAATTTTGCTATATAATTTTACGGCAATGTTGTTTCACAGTGATTCCATTCACCTTGTACACTTAATTAGGCCCTGTTAAGGTATGGGTTTTTACCTGTATAAAAGTAAGGTGAAACAAAAGTTCGCTGGGGTAACATACTAACCCTTTTTTCAGACAAGCAGATATCTGGCTTTCTTGATCGCGTACCAAACGATTTCCGAAGTAAATCGGGAAACTGCTGCCCAAATTAGCTCATCAAAATATGCCATTATGGACGATTAAGATTTGCCTCGCAACCATTATTCTTTGTAGAGTCGTTATCATTGTAAGAGCCATATTTTTTGTGTGTGCAGCATTGCAAAATATTTATTCAAAAACAATTCTTCCAAAAGCTTAATATTTTCGTCTAAATTAAACAGAAAGTTAGAGTCATGATTTGCTTTCTAAACATGGCATGCGTCCACACCTCCGACAATGGACTTTATTTCAAATTCAGTGGATATTAGAAAAAGCATGGCATCTTCGGTAATATATGCAAAACATTAAAATATGATATTTTATATCGCACTTTTAAATAGAACTGCTGGAAATCACCCTAGGGCACAGCGATTCCTCCACGGGCATATTCACCTGGTAGAGCCCATCCATTTATGTTAAAAAATAAAAAAAAGCTGCTGTCATATTATTATATGCCACGTACATCACCAGATAAAATAAAATAATTTGTATATAGTTTTAATTTCTTCGCTTTTTTAGCACATGTATTTTATATTTACAGTCGCCGAGAGTTTTTTTTTCTTTGTAATCAGTCAAGCTTTTGCTGAAAATTAGTGTAAGCGTTATCAACTTTATATTTCAAAAGGCTGAGATCAGTAATACTCTAGGAAATCTTATTTTAGATGCTTGTTTATTAGATATTCCCATCCTCCCAGCATGACCGCATACACACTCAAACAAACTAACAAACATTATATTATTTAGGTTTCAGGAGATAGGGCACCGTTAAATGCTACTGATAAAATATTTGCGTGCCACAGATACGCTAACAAATAAATCAAACTTTGTGTTCCATCAGTAAAAATTATAGGACCAAGATAGCTTTTACTGACTGCTAGAGCCAGCTGATCTGTATAATTCATAATATGACGAATATTATACAGCTTCTCTGGTACTTTTTAGGTCTACTGGCGGCGTTTATTGGACATCGATTTACAGCAAGGCCGCTAATCATTTTCGGCGCCGTCGTTTCCTCATTAGGTGTGATGCTCAGCTTTTTTGCTCATAAACTTTGGATGCTTCATTTGACGTTAGGAGCAATTCACGGTAAGTAATTTTCGCATAAAAAGCAGAAATGTCAGAAATGTGGGGTAGCATTCGATCTCGGTCAGTAAATTTATATTTACGTTTCACTCAAACAAGAAACACGCTAGCCCGGTGTTTGCGGGAACGGTTTTAAACTTAATTTCCTGTTTGACAAATGAGTGCACTCGAGGTAATACACTCCAAAATTTATGCTAGCGCAGGGGTTTCGGTGACGCCAGAATGACGCCGAGTTCTGATTGGCTTTGGTCGGAAGGATAGTGGGTAGGCCTCAAGGCATCTAGCATTAATATCTACCCACTATTTTTTTTATCAGCCAATAAGAGCTTGGCCTTCTGACACCATTGCACCCCTGCGCAGGAAGCAGACTAACTTGCACTCCGGAAAAGTTGCACTTATCAGAGCTGTATGCAAATTTTTGCGGGAATATTTTTGAGTCGTTTCTTGGTGGAAGATCCTTTCCATCCCATCTGGTCGTCTAAACATTTGTGGCCAATAAATTAATATGACTAAAAAGAACCATATAAATTAAGGAAATAATTGCCAACATGTACGCCCATGGATATTAAAACTTGATACTATGATTATAAATTTTATTATTTGTAATGCTCATTTATATGAAACGGGCGGCGAAGCCCACCACATCTGTTTAACAAATATAAGCAGAAAATTTCCCCTACATTGCCAGAGCCGAAAATCAATTTTATATTACAACCTCGTCTGCGTGGCATCAGGTGTCAAGAATATGCGACACTGCTCTCTCATATAAGAGTTGCTAACCTTCTCGATTGCAGCGATGTAAGCAACTCTGACAAGTGATGTGCGCCAATAATAAAAGTAGTTCGAGCTCATTCACACAATATTGATTTCTCGGACATTAAGTGTGAAAATTAAGTTCCACCCCTCCAATAAGAATAAGATACGATGAATATACGGCATTCTAAATGTAGTGCTGTGTGATATATGGTTTAAGTAATTACAAAGGAAGTGTGGTAATATAATAATAAAAGATAAAATATTTCGCGTTGATTATGTTTAGTTTAATCATTTTTGAAGATGCCGTAGTTCTAAACTCCACCAATAAAACTGACAGTTATGTGAATGGCGGAAAATTACTGGAAACAAATCTTTTATAAAGCTCAAGTTGTCAGCATTAGGCTTCGAGGAGCTGTCTCTTAGCAACTCTGCTGGAATTCTGAGAGGTTGTATAATTAATGTCTATATTTTTTTGCTCTTTAAATATATTGTCGTTCTCCACTGGAGGTTTGCCGAAATAGGTCAGAGAATAAAAAACATTCGCTTATTCAAGCCAGTTAAAAATATGACTCAATTTAAGCACAACGTGTATGCAAATCTGTGCCTTGATGTTTGTTGTTAAACAAGCTATAAGTGTTCGTTTAAGTATGTTGAATTATGGTCTAGTGTCTGGAACAATCTGTGGAATAAATGGTTTTCGATGAAATATTGAAATATCAAAATTCTAATACATTTTTTTACTATGACGCCGAGTGAAATACGGCCCACAGGAACCTTACTATCTTTTGTCAAGAAAGGCATAGATTAACAATTTTGTAAATGTAGACCACAAAATACATTGAAAAAAAAAAAGAGTTCTGTGGAAGAAAAGACTATACAGGTCCAAATGTTTATTTAATGCTTATGAATGTTTTATGAATGCCATGTAAGTTATTTCAGGCGAACATTGCGATATTTACTTTTGTTCATTTAAATTCTCATTTCAATGCATGCGCCGAGGCGTTTATGTCAAAGAAAGTTAGACATGTGATGGTAAAAAGTATGATAAATGAGCTAGGTCATTTAATATAATGCAGTCATGCACGTCAAATATAACACAAAGTATGATATTGTTCTCCAAAGATTTGACGATGTTTTCTCTTTTTTGATGCAGGATTCGGAAGTGGCATTGTTTATGCGATGAACCCAGTTGTTATCAGTGAGCACTTTGACAAGTACATGGCTCTCGCCACAGGAATCAACTTCGCAGGATCCCCTCTTGGAAGTTTTATTTTCCCAAAACTCCTCGAACAACTAGTGCAGGTGTACGGCTTTCACAGCGCCATGCTCATTTTTGGGAGTATCTTGCTCAACGCGTTGGCGTTCAGCTTGTTCCTTCGTCGACCTCATTGGCTCGTACCGCAGAACCTTGAGCATATACCTAAACAACCAGGGGAGTCGAAGTTCCAAGGCGCCAATGAACCCTATACCATCTCAGGCCAGATGACTCTGCGGGGTGGCCAATCGAAGCAGAAGGTAGAATCAATGCAAGGATCGCTTGTTATTTTCAAGGCTCCGGTGTTCTACTTAATTACCTTCTCATTCATTGCATTTTGCCTAAGCTACGACTGCTACAATTCCCTGTTCCTTGATTTTACCATTGGTCGGGGAATAAGTATGTCCAATGCTGTAACCATGACGTCCATTTGCTCCTTGGCTGACCTCGCCGGAAGATTGATCTTACCGGCATTAACTGACAAAAAACTGGTCGAAAGGAAGACATCTGTGACGGCTCTGCTTACATTGCTGGGATGTTTCTATATTGCGATGTCTTTTGCAAGTGGCTTTTGGGTCATATTTACATTTACAATGGCAATAGCTGCCCTTCTCGGCTGTGGTGTCGTGCTCTTTCCTGTGCTTCTTGTCGAACACGTCGGTTTGGACAACATATTTATGGCTACAGGCATGCTGACGGCTCTCACAGCAGTTTTTTCATTTTTTAAACCATTCTTGATCGGTAAGTTTTTTGACACAGTTATAGCGTTCTAAAAACTTGAGTATTATAACTATTAACATTATTATTGTCTTACTCTTGTTTTTGTTTATTACTATTACTTGAGAACACTACCCCCTCAACTAAACGAGCTTTTGTTTGTGTGTTTAAAACTTAAAAACAATGCACTGATAAAAAAATTTACTTAACATATAAGAGAGCGTTATTGAATGTATCAATATCACCAGAGTGGCAGTATTATTTTTTAATCATTCCATTGTAGAACTACGTGCGAATCTTACATCAGACTTACAATATTTCAAAATGTACCCTTCTCGCTTGAAAGTTAATTCTTCTCGGCTTCAAAATGAAACATATTTCTTTAACCCTTAAAATCTACAAAAGCTTTGGTTTCATTAAAAAAACAAAAAAACAAAAAAAAAGAAGAATTAAAAAGCTATGGCACATTCTTAGAAGTTTGCTTGGGACCTTTCGTATTGAACAGTACTCGGAATATGCCCGTTTCCAAAAAACACGCGACCCCAGGTTCAACAAACCATTTTCGAGCCCAGTCGCTGAGTTTGAGGCTAGACTCTCACAGGCGTCCCTCCTAACCCTAACCGAGTGGACTGTGATTTCAATAGGCGCAGCCTGCGTAGACGCAGTTTCAAACGCTGCTGGCGGCTAAATTCTCGTCTTTTCTCGCTGTATTTTGTGCTTCGTGGTACATGTATTTTTCCAAGGACATTGAGAAAGCATTTTACCATGTTTAAAAAAAAAGACAAAAAAAAACTGAACTACTTTTGTTGGGTACGCGTGCGACAGAACGAATGCGGCTGGAATGTATAGTTATATTATTTGCGTTTTTTTCTTACGATAAGTTTTGACGGCGCCGTGGGATTCGCCGCATGTGAAACGACAAAGCGCTTTGTTGTCAAAAATAAATTGCAACAGAAGAGGGCCGAAAGGCATGCATTTTTCACGCTCACAAATAACGTGTTTACCGATTGACAGGACACGGACATACAATTGAGGGAGTGTTAAAATTCTAACAATATATCGTACGCACCACACGATGCAGCGTTATCCGAAAAGAATTTATTTGAGAAAGTTCTCAAATAACACAGTCACAATCGACGACAGTCACATCTTGACGATCGGACGCAATCCGAGATGACTTCATTTCGGGGCACGTTTTGGGGAGAGCTTCCTTTTTTCACAACCGCTCCAAGGCAAAGGAACGAACGCGACTGGCCCGTTTCCCACCCCAACCCGGACAACTATTTTTGAAAACGACTGAGGATTCTACGCGGATTACCTGTAAGGGGGGGGGGGGGGGGGGGGGAGAACAATGTTCGCAAAATCGCGTCGAGGGTCGTTCGACGTCCTTCACCTCCTTCGTTTTCTGTGAATGTAAAGCTGAAAAACTTGAATGGCTGGCTTTTACCATACTTATTTCTCGCAATGGAAGATAACACAAAAAGAGTACGCAGCACGCATAAAAAAAAAAAAAAAACTAAGCGGAAGTTTTCAAGAAAGGAGAGAAAATGTCGAATGCAAAACCGCAAAATCTTAGGTAGAGAACCGCGCTGAGCGGGTCTTTACAGTCCAAGAGAGAGGCAGAAAATGTCCAGCTGATAAAGGGCGCGAGAGTCGCACCAGCTGCATTAGCATCAGTAACATATGTGAGACTTTGATTTGGTGATGCGGTTGCCGCTACTTGTGGCAGAGCAGAGCTTGGGGGTTCATGACGACAGGCTGCGTTGTTTAGCTCACTCCATAGTGGTGCATCCTCGTCGGGTTCATGTTTGGTCTGCAGAGGCTCGGCCGTCGCATGCGGAGGATCAAACTGCGAGACAGCCGACCGTGTGAGGATGAAGGCACGCTGCTCACATCCGACCTTTTTTTTTTTTTTTTTTTTTTTTTGAGCGTTATTGAAGGGTTTTTGAGACTTTGGGAACAAGAAAAATATTTAATGAATGAAAATAAAGTAAATAATGGAGGGATGGCTGAGTGAAGGCTGATGGCTCGTCATGGCTGGCTGGCGTTCTTCTACTTCTTCTACTTCTTTTCCTGTCTCTCAGGCCATATGAGGCACGTTCGGCGCTGTGGGCAGGCACGCTGCTCACATCCGATCTTTTTTTTTTTTCAGGGTTATTGAAGGGTTTTTTGGCAATCAGTTAAACCCTGGGACTAAGCTTGGCATGGAAAACGTAGTTTATCACGTGGATTGAGGTTCGAGAGGACGAACTTCGAGGGGACTGAGTTCGAGAGAACGGCCGGGGTCCGGCCGGGTCCTTTATGAGCCCGTCTCGGGCTCTGTTGTTGCATTGAAATCGTTACAGGGACAAATCTTAGTCGTGTGGTCGTTTCGGTTGTGTCCGGTGCTGTTGTGGTCCCTGGTCTGTTGGGTAGGCTGTGGATCTTGCGTTCCGGTTCAATGAGGGTACGGCTTGCATACTCAGTGAAAATCTCTTTGCCATTCTGCCTCTGAGAGAGGACAGCACCAAGGGCTGTGGCTGTGCCATCTGTAGCAACAGGTGTTGGCGCAACAGCATCGAATTGTCCAAGGATTGGCGCCGAGGTGAGGGCTACACGAAAGGTCTCAATTGCTTGTTGACACTCCAGTGTCCAGTTGAACTCAGGTCTTCGGATAACAGCTTGCCGGGGGCAGCAATCTTCGAAAATTCTTTAACGAATCTCCTATAAAAGTTGGCTGTCAGAACCCTGGAGAGCAGTTGCTTTGAGGTCCATGGTATAGGAATGCGTAGCATGGCTCCAACTTCGGAGGCGTCTGGCTCTTTTCCTTTGTCGAAAATCAGGAACCCAAGAAACTTAACAAAGGCCACGGCAAACTTGCATTTCGTTAACGAAATCTTGAAGCCGGCGAGTTGGAGAAGGCTCATAGTGTCATCCAGACGGTCCAAGAATTCCAAGAATCCAACGGCAAACACAATGATGTCGTCCAGGTACGTCCTGGCTTCTGACTTGGTCTGTCTAGGTTGCAGACTTGTAAAAACTTTATTCATTGCCTGTTGGAATGTTGCTGGTGCGTTTTTCAATCCAAAGGGCATTCGGGTCCATTTGAATGTACCATAATGCGTAATGAACGTACTCTTGTCTTGGTCGGACTCCCTGACACGAATTTGCCAGTAGGCAGAACACAAGTCCAGGACCGCGAACAAAGAGCATCCTGCAAGATCGTCTAGGATGTCGTCGGCCCGGGGAAGCGGTTGCAGGACGTTGATCATCATCTTGTTTAATGGGATGTAGTTGACACACCGTCTCTTCTTATTTTTCTGTGTGACCATAATGGCTGTAAATCCCCATGGTCCCGAGAATGGCTTGGCGATACCCTTGTCTAGAAGCGTGACGACCTGGGTCTCAAGGAATTGTCTATCCGTCGCCGTGTAGCGATATGGCTGTCGTCCATATGGTTTTGCCTCAGGTACAAGGTCAATTTGATGTTCAATGCCCTCATAGAGGCCAATGTCGAGAAGGTCACGCGGGAAGAGGTCAGTGTGGAGGAGCAAGATTTGTTTCACATCGTGTTGTTGTTTAGTCGTGAGCTGGGAGCCGATGCAAACGCCATCAAGAGTAGTTTCACTTGATACGGATGCATATGAATGTGAGCCATATGTGAGGCTTTGATTTGGTGATCCGGTTGCCGCTAGTTGTGGCGGAGCAGAGGTTGAGGGCTCATGACAACAAGCTGCGTTGTTCAGCTCACTAAATAGTGGTGCATCCTCGTCGGGCTCAAGTTTGGTCTGCAGAGGCTCGCCGTAGCATGCGGAGGATCAAACTGCGAGAGAGCCGACCGTGTGAGGATCACGGCGTTGGACATCCTTGGTAAAAGTTCTTCTCTAAATTGTACAACCGTGTTTCTGTTGGGTAGGCAAATGATAGGCAGCTCTGGGGGCCTAATGTCAAGCTCGGCTTGTGCGATGCGAAACCAGTCTTCTCCCAATATGAGAGGTAAGGCGTTTCTTTCGAGGACTGCTGCTTTGGCTGTGGCTGACATTGGTCCAATTGTAATCAGGAGTGGGACCACACCTTTTGGAGTGACAGAAGCGCCGCCAACGACGAGCAATGGTGGTTTTGTCCATGGCAGTAGGGCGAGTTCGTTGACAAGGCTTGCAGTGGTGACTGTTATGCTGGAACCACTGTCAGGAAAGGCGCTTACTGTGCCAACTCCAGTTGTGAGCAGCAACGACTGGGCACTTCAGCTGAGAACCTTGCAAAACATCTAGCTGGCTAACTAGAGCTGTAGGTTCATGTGGCGTTTTTGGCTTGGAATGATTTGGAGGCTCTTTTGGCTTGTTACACTTGCTTGCGAGATGGACAGGCTTTTTGCAATTGTAGCAGATGGCTTCTTTTATGTCTTGTCCCGGTCGGTATGCTGGGGAACCATATTCTGCGGAAATTGTATTGTACCTGGCTTCCTGTTGGTTGGGAGGCATATCCGCGATGCGCGTACGGCCAGTTTGTGATGTGGTAGGCGTACAATAGAAGTGCGTGGTTGAGCCGCTTGCTGAGAAACGTCCATCCCGGCCTGGCTTTGGGAATGTGGGTGTGCGGGCCAGACGGGAATGGTCTATCGTTCGGTCCACTTCGGACACAATGTTCAGGAAGTCGTCCACTGTTCGGGGTCGGTGGACAGCAATGAATGTGGCGATCTGATCATCACGAATGCCTTGAACAAGGTATTCAATACGTTCCTTGTCAGTGATGGGGACTGGACATCGCGACATGATCTTGAGCTTGGCGAAGGCATACTGCTGAAGGCTATCGCCAGGTTTCTGGGTGAGGGCTGTTACCTTCTGTTGCCACTGAATGAGTGAAAGTTGCTGGCCGAATTGTTCTTTCAGTCCGGCTGTCCAAATGGTCCAGGTGGTAAGTTGTCGCCCTGTTGACGCATGCCAGTCAGCAGCGACACCACGTAGCTTCCCTTGGGCGATGGCTAAAAGAGTGGGGTCTTTCCATCTTGCAAGGCGCTGAGTGCGTTCAAGCTCTTCAATCCAGTGCTTGAATGTAGGAGTGCCGCCTCCGTTGAAAGTGGGCAGCGAAGCTGATAGATCTTGCAGAGTTGTCATGTGCACTTGGTTCGCTTGATTGGCTAGCATCGTCATCATTACGGCCATGTTCTGGTGAAGGAATGCGGCCATGCGCTGCATGTTCTCAGCTTCGTCTGTGGTAAACGCTGGCATAGTCGGGAATAGCGTTGCAGGAGCTAGTGCGTTTGGCGGGTTTTGGGTGGCATCAGTCAAAAGCCTGTCAATAAGCTCTTCCTTGTTTCCGATTGTGCTAAGGTTTCGGCGTTGAAGTTCTATTTTGAGGAACTGAACGCTCAGGGTCGCGAGATCTTCGGATGTAGCGTTACCCTAGTTGATAAGTGACATCGTTGTTCTGGGCGGGCGATGGGCAAAGGGGAGGCTGGTAGGCTTAAAAATGGCTTCGCGTTCGGCTACGCGGATGAAAGCGGGCAGGCAGGCTTACGTGGCGATTAGGTGGCGAAGGCAGGTTGAGGGCGTCGACTGCGCCATATGTAAGACTTTGGGAATAAGAAAAATGTTTAATGAATGAAAATAAAGTAAATAATGGAGGGACGGCTGAATGAAGGCTGATGGCTCGTCATGGCTGGCTGGCGTTCTTCTACTTCTACTTCTTTTCCTGTCTCTGAGGCCATATGAGGCACGTTCGGCGCTGTGGGCAGGCACGCTGCTCACAGTCTAGCTGATATAGGTCGAGAGAGTCGCACCAGCTGCATTAGCATCAGCAACATGGCGGCGGCCTAGGAGCGATTTTTGGAAAGGTGTATCTAGAGCACTATATAGCTCCTTCGCAGCAGAGTACCGCAATCTAGAACGCCGTCTCTCGGCGACTAGCGGCGAATGCCCGGGGGTTCCAACTACGGCCACAAATGCATGGGGATCGAACGGGAGTAAATCGCTGCTTCCCGATTATTTTTGCGATCTATGGAACGACAATAGTTTTGGACATAATAAGGGAATAGTTTACAATAATTTGCGCTACGTTGTGCGCCGTGGAATAACTTAATTTCTTTTTTAAAAATTGTCTGAGCAGCATCATTCAGCAGACGACGCGGCGACGTCACACATTTCACGTGACCCGCTCCGGCCAATCCATAAAGTCCATCTCCGCTGCGTAAATCAATCGTCTGCTTCAAACGCCATTGCTTTGGAAATTGCCTTCGCAAAATTTGCACACGCATCCAATATTATTAAAACTTTGATAAAGTGATAAATGTTTTACCAACTTCATGACAGACTAGTTTTGAAAGTGTGAACTCGGCGTTTATTTTTTAATCAGCCGTGCTGAGTCGATCTCCATGTATTCTCCCATAGGGCGGGCCGCCTCCTGGAACCCTGAGTACCACGTGACTCGCGCCGAGCTGCTCTGTCGGCCATGTTGTCGGCGAAACACGCGGATCAAAGGATTGCGCTACCCTGCTCCGTAGGAGCTATATAGTGCTCTAGGTGTATCAGGAGGTGCTAATGGTTAATAACTCTGACAATATTCGTTTCTGAACATCTTCGAGCAAAATAAAAACTGGCTGCATGTATTTTATGTTTCACGACAGGATTGTCCGTGCGATGTTTGGTATACCGGTAAATTGAAATGATATTTTTACGAACAGGCTATTTCCGGGATTCTTTGGGAGAATACGACTTGTTGTTCGTCGCCTGCGGCTGCGGAGCAATCTTGGCTTCAGTGACGTGGGCCACGATATCGGTAGTAAGATGTACCACAGAACGACACGAATGGACGATCGACCATGAGAATGACGAAAGAGTTATTTCGGATGGAACCTACGTGCACATTTCTTGGGTGGCTCATAAGGACGACGGCAAGCACGCCTATCAAAGACGAACATCGGTTTACACAGCAGCGCTTGTATTTTACTAAATTATATACATACCGTCTTTTTAACGAAAGGAGAACTTGAAATAAAAAAAAAGTTTTATTACGAATGTCTTTATCTACCTTGTCAACGTAAGGGCACGAAGGCGGCATAAATATCACGAAACCATTTACATAAACTTAACTTATTTGCTTTACAAATATTTGTCTTTTCCAGCACATGTGGATCGGTGATTTAAATCAAAGCCTCAAAATAGGCCATAACAGCTGTTTTGTTCTATAAGACGATCCGGCTCCGCACTATTCAATGCTTTATTGTAGGCTATATATCTAGGACACGCCATGCCACATATTAAAGGAAATAGCTCGAAACACTAACAGACGAAGGGACACCAGATTGTGGCGTTCCTTGACGGGGAGCACGTAATCCAGACCCATTTCATTGCTGATGGATCGGCCTGAAATTACTGGCGAAACGCTTGCGCAGCGGTAAATGGGGAAGTTTCGTAGCTATGTTGTGTCTTAGTTTCAGCAACCGGTCTTTGTCACCTTAGCTTCACTAGCGAATCGAGCAAAGCAAATATGTTATTTGGAGAATTTAACCTAACATATGTTTGTCTATTTTGACCTAGGGTAGTATAAATATTGAAATGGATGTACCAATAAAATAAACTTGATTAACGAGGGAACTGGAACGGTCTTCCCGACGCCATCGTCAACATATCTGATAAAAAAAATGTTTCGCAATGCCCTCTCGAATCATTTTTTTTCCCATGATCCCCCACTGCATCCTGAAAATTGCTGTTTTGTTGTTCTATTGCCTTTTTTACTCTGTCATTTTTGCTTCAAAATGAACTTTTGTATTGTCATTGTTATTATTTGTAATCATTTAGTTTGAATCATTGCTTTTTGGGTTCTTGTCGCGCATGCTAGCATTATAACTTCATTTTCACATCCGTTTTCTTTTATCTACATACTTTCGCTTTGCATTTGCTTTCTTTCCCTGTAATCCAAGATTTTTTTTTTCCTCGGAGCGCGCGTTTCTGTGTGTGTGGTTTATTTTTTTTCTATTTCTTTTTTTTTTATTGACTTTGTTTCTATTCTTTTGTTCTGATTGATACTTACCCTGAATGTACTCCCCATCATGTAATGCCCTTAATTGGGCCTTTGAGGTACCATGAATAAATAAATAAATAAATAAAGAATATGTTTGAGTGCACGGGAGTCCCGGAATGTCGGACATGTTTTAGTTTTTCAGTTTCCTGCGTTTGAGATGCAGTAAAGTCGCGGACAGCTTGAGAATGCAGACGTTATAGCGTCAAAAAGGATCTATCTGGTCCCCAGTGAAAGGTTGCGTATTAATATATACCACAAGTTTTGGCTTCATAGTTTACAACTAGAATATCAGTCGCGAGCAATCTACTCAAAAAGGGTAGGATGTCCAAATTCCTAGTTGAATTGGAGAAAGTGGCTGGTCATTTGCGCCCAGATTTGTCTATCAAACATACTTTTCTTATTATCAAGGGACATCGGGACTAACCCTGGTCCAGATACTAGACTCAATACTTCAGACAGTGCAAATGATTGAACAAGGGCAGTCTCAGTTATTAACGGAAATAAGGACATAAAGGAAAAACAAACTCACACGATGGGCTTGTACACGAGTTAAACTTAGCAATTACACTTTAAGAAAAAGGGGAGCGCGACTTAGTCCCCGAAAGGAGCAAGTGCGTTGACACTACCATTAGTCCCCTCGGGGACTGACGGGAAGGGAAGTAACAGTTGTGCCCCTCCATTAGTCTCTCGCACTAGCACCGTTGGGACTAACTGTTACACCGTTTCAATTGCACCTCGAGGACCAACCGTTAGGCCCTTGCACTTGGTCCCCTGGGACCAACTTTTACACCGTTTCAAATGAACCCCGAGGACCAACTGTTAGGAACTTGCACTTCTCGATCTTGTCTTTACATCCGCACCTCAAACAATCACTTCCCTTTCCTGCTCAGCTGGCCTCTGTGATCATTGTTTGTTTCAATTTTTTCTTTCCCTACGTCCCCATACCCGTAGCCCTAGTAGAAAACAAATTCGGGTGTACAACAAGACTATAACTACGGCGGAATTAACACCGGTCTCTGGTCCTTCATTGAATCATTTTCTGAAGCTTTCTCTGCAAGATTTATTGACGACAACTGGACCTTAGGCAAAACAAAAATAAACGATTTAATTAATACCTTTATCCCACTTGTCAAGAATAGGTCTGACACGAATCATCCCTGCTATAATCGTCAACTCGAGACCCTACGGAATAAAAAGAAAAGACTCTACTATCAGCTAAGCGACTGGCAACAGACATCGCTTAGTCACGCTACTTCAGTGTTAACAAAGAATATGTCACACGCTTGCGACAGATAAAAAAAAACGCGTTTTTATGATGATCTAATTTCAAATACTGAAAAGAAATACTAGAAAATTTTGGCGACTCATATCACCTAACGAAAACCCCTGTGCCATGCGATTAACAAGTGACGAAGCTACGCGTATTCTAGACGCTGATAACCCGACGGTCCTTCACAACCAGTTGGAATCAGTCTTCACCATTGAAGACACGGACAACATTCCTCCAGTTGTTGAAGTCGACTGCCCTTTTTAAAGGTGCCTATCGCTATCTCTGCACACGGCATTGAAATGCTTATCGACAACTTAAAAATATCTCTGTCCACTGGCCACGACAATATAAATTCAAAAAATATTAAAGAACACCAAAGAAATATTCAGTAAAATTCTGTGTACTCTTTCAACAATCCCTAGCCGCAGGTCGAATTATCACTGATTCGAAGATTTCCAAGATTATCCCGATGCACAAAAATGTTTACCGTGGCCTATTTGGAAACTATTAGTTTATATCCTTGACGAGCGTAGCATCCAAATTTTTCCAGCACATCAAATTCTCCCACACAGTATCTCATCTAGAAAATAACAATTTTGGTTTTATGAGAAGCAGTATGGTTTTGTAAAGGGTTTTCGTGCGAATCGCCACTAATGGAATTCACTCAGGACATTCACATAAACATGAACCAGTGCACTCAAACTGATGCCATTTTCTTATTTTTGTCCAAAGCATATGATCGTCTTCCTTATTGCCGAGTACTCGATGAACTCTCTTAACTTCGCATTGACCCTCTTACACTCTCCTGGATATGTAACTTCTTAGCACTACGACGCCAATACACAGTGTGTGGTAACTGCCAATCTAACACGTCTCAGGTAATTTCTGGTGTGTCACAAAGAACCGTGCTCGGGCCTCTTCTTTTTTAATATACGTGAACGACTTACCCGATTCCATCTCGTCCAAAACACGCCTCTTTGCAGATGACTATGTTACGATCACATCATCCTCCAGCAAGACATAAACTCCATTAGTGCTTGGTGAAACAATTGGCTTATGTCTCTGAATGGTTAAAAATGTAATCTAGTAACTTTCAGTCGCAAACAATCGCTATCGCTTCATTCCTATCTTTTATGCAGCTCACCCCTCTCATCCTCATCCTCTTACGAATACCTTGGCGTTTATCTCTCTGACAACCTACCCTGGTTTAACCATATCGATGTCATTACAAGTTCTCTATCCAAAACACGTGGATACTTGCGACGCCACCTTTTCTCAGCCCCCCCTCCTTCTACGCAAGTTAGCGTACGAGACTTTCGTTCGCCCTATACTTGAATTTGCTTCCGCTGTATGGAACCTCCACCAGAAATACCTTATCAATCAGAATGAAAGCATCCAAAATCGTGCAGTTCGTTTTATAACATCAACCTACTCTCGCCAAACAAGTGTCTCCTTTCTTAAAAACCCTATCCTCTTGCCACCACTTGAAATACGCCGCACCGCTGCCCTTTTAGGCATCATTCATAAATGACGCTATTCTAACCCTAACGTTTTCGCCCCCCTGCTTTGAGCCCGCTAACCGAAAATCTTGCCGTCTAGCTACCAGCCGACGTTATAAGCGCACTTTTGATGATTTATCTGCCTTCAATAACTCCTTACTGCCACGCGCAATCATGCACTAGAATTCTTTTTCTGATCACATAACCGCACTTTGCGACCATACGGCATTCCGAGTAGCTGTTTTAGATTCTTTAAGTGCTATTTAGTTTCGGTTTACAGTGATTCCCTTGCCCACACAATGAAGGGTTATATGTGCCTGGACCCTAAAATTTGTATAATACCTAATTTGTTAAAGTGTTTTTTTCAGTGGTGATATTGCTATCGTGTTGGCACTCTTCTTTTTTTTCTCTTTTAAGTGTTGACTATACTGTAATTTGACCAAATCCCCCCATTTTGAATTAATAAATAAATAAACAAATAAAAAATGTCTAATGTCTAATTGACGAGATTTTGAACCGCCAAACATCTAGAGGCCGTCATTTTGCTTTAGAATCACCAAAGTGTTTATTGTGTTAATAAATACAAAATAATTTAATTTTCTACAGTCGCGTAGGATATGACAAAACTCAAGCGAGCCCCAGGCTTCGAAGATCTCTGGTAATATTCCAACGGAAGAAAACTCATTTGTACTCGAGGATATCGTGTGATAGCAGCATTTTAGCGGCTGTTTGATCTTTGTCGTTGCCCCGATTTTAGGATTTTCATATCAACATAGAAAGTAGTAGTGATGGGCGAAATAAAAACTAAATAGCTTACAATTATTTATTCCACGAACTAGTTATCGAATGCCTCAAATGCTTATTGCTAAACCTACCGAGCTGGCGGTTTCAGTCACGCATGATTTTACCGTTTGTCGCGGAATGCCTCTACATTCGGCGCTGAAATGAGCATGGACTCAGCGATAGCTGGTCATGCAGAAAGTGAAAACTATAATTGCACAGCCGCTGAAGCATCCGTAATGTTTGGTCTTTGCTCTGAAAGATAGCTATGCAGATTTTCGGAACCATACGCTTGCCTGGGTTTTGCTGTCTTGTACGCGACTGTGTTCGTCGCTGGCTGTGTTCGTCGGTGGCGAAATGATATCTACACGACAAACGTC